CATGTGTTCGGCTGTAATGGCTGCCAAAAGGGAAGCCGGTTCCTTCAGTTTGGGGCTGAGACATGCCGGGCCACGACACTTAGGGTCACAGCCTATGTCCCTGAAGGGACCAGCTCTCAGAAAAAAAATTCATTGTCCCTTCCTTACCCAGGCTCCCCCCCCCCTTTTCCCCAGCCATAACAGCCTAGCACGTGTTTGCCTGACCTTGCCTTGGTCACTAGGAGGTCAGATGCCTGCCTCATGGCAAGGAACCAATCAGAAGTTAGCAGGTGGTGCTATGCTTTATGGCTCTGGGTGTGCTTTACTTTACGGACAAGCGCACAGCAATGACGCAGAGCATAGCAACCACCCTGGGAGGGCCTATGGGCCATAACAACCAGTTGACCAATCAACACAGGGCAAGTCCTACAAGCCTGGAGGCACACCAATCCTGAGCCTGTGCGTACCCCTAGACACTCCCCTTACACTGCCCTGTAAGATCTCTATGCGGTGGCTTTGCGGCATCTTTCCTAGCCATCCGCCATGGTGGGTGGGTGAAAGGCCGGAGCTAACATGGTGTTAGCTCATTAAACAACTGCAATAAAACCTCTTGCTGTTTGCATCAAGCTTTTGCCTCCACCTGGTGATTGGGGTCGCTGTGGTCCTGGGCTGAGATCCTGGGGGCCTGAGCCTCCAGAGGTCTTTCACCCCAACAAGCCATGTTTGGAGACCTGTATTCAATAAGCCAATTAAAATAGCCAAATTAATAGTTAAAAAGCAGAATGCAATCTACTCAATGTGGCCACACTGGGAAGAGAGGTAAAGAGATGTTTTATCCCACTGACAATGCCCCCACCTCAAGTCTGTCTTCCTGATCCTGGCCTGAGGTTTTGGTTTAAGCCGAGGTCCTGAATCATGTATATCTAAGCAATCCCGTCAAGGTGTGGTCTCTCTGAGTTGACCCATCCTTGTTTTAGCTTCACTCTCTGGCAAGGTTTGCTGACAGGTTCCAAATCTCTTTTCAGGAGAAGAAAATTCCCCTTCTGACCAGCCCAGGGTTAGCCTTGCTCTTTTCCAACGTGAGATTCCTGGGGATGGTCTCATTCCTGGGGGTTCATTGTTTCAATTGTCTGGTAGTCAAAGGAAGTGACATGAGTGTTTCCTTAGAATACCCCCAAGCCTTCCAGGCCTGTCACAATTTCAACCCCCACTGTAAATGGATAAGAAATTGCTTAAAAGCCAGGCAGTGGTGGTGCACGCCTTTAGTGCTAGCACTTGGGAGGCAGAGGCAGGTGGATCTCTGTGAGTTCGAGACCCGGCTGGTCTACAAGAGCTAATTCCAGGACAGGCTCCAAAGACACAGAGAAACCCTGTCTGAAAAAACCAAAAAAAAAAAAAAAAAGAAATTGCCTTAGAGGTGATGGTACTCAAAGTGATGAGAAAGGAACTGAACATCTGGGGAGCACAGTTCAGAGGACAGAGCTGGCGGGAAAAATTAGACGGTGGTTATTCACAAGGTGTCTGCAGAGAAAATGTCAGGGATTGGACCTCTGTTCTAAGAGCAGCATAAGGCTCATGAAACAGAGACTGGCTGAGTCCCACTTCACAGCTGAGACGACAGGGCCTCATCTTAAACACTAGCACTCCTCTCTCTACTCCTCACAGGTCTCAGTCTGTTGACCCAATTGTGGGTGGGACTTAGGAACACTGTCCTTGCACTCAGCTGCCTCCAAAGGGGGCAGGGTGCCCCACATACACCTTGAGCACATTGGAGTGCCATCTGAAGGAAAACCGGCAGATGCCCTTGAGAAATCTAGAGCCCTGCAGCCTCTTCTGCAAGATAATTCAGCTGCATCCAAGCACACGCATTAGCTTCTACCTGCTTGCTCATGCCTGTTTCCTCTCAGTCTCAAGCCCTTCTTGAGGCCCCCAGAAGACCCGAGGTTCTGCCCTGTGTCCGCTGTGAATAGGAAATGAAGGCAGTGCTTATGGGAAAACTCCATTGCCAATCACATGTGGATACAAAGCTGGATTGGGGCCTTATGTTCCCTGCTAATTGGCTCTGCAGCTACCTGAGGCCTGGACTAGCTTGGACCATCCTGTCATTACACCTATCAGCCTTATAACCCCCTCTACTCCCTTTGCCCTTGAACTTGTTTGTAGACGCAAGTTTCTGTTCTGCCTGGTCCTGTAGCCGATTAGCCCTACATAAACACACAAAGACTTACATTAATTTGTAAACTGTTTGGTCGATGGCTAAGGCATCTTACTGGCTGGCTCTCTAATTATTAACCCATTTCTATTAATCTAAGTATTTCCACGTGCTCTTGGCTTACCTGGTAATGCCCCAGCATGCTACTCCTTCAGCCTCTTCATGGCATCTCCTGGCCGCTCCCCTCTGCCTTCCTCTCCCCAGCCCTCTCCTGGTCTGGTAGCTCTGCCTATGCTTCCTGCCTGGCTAATGGCCAGTCAGTGTTTTATTCATCAACCATCAAGAGAAACATATATACACAAGGACATTCCCCATCACTTATTCGTTCACACCACTTCTCTAATATAGGGCATATTCCTGTCCAGGTCAACCCCAGCACTCCCTTCCAGCTCTAGTCCTTCAGGTGGGCCCTTGTGTCTTCAGATGCCTGAGTCCTACATTATCTTGCTGAATTCACATTCATTTCCACGGGACTACACTGTGCTTGGTTCTCTTCCACTGTTATACTTTGGATCTTGAATGTCCTTCCAAAGGTCTGAGTATTAAAGTCTTGGTGTCTAGTCCTTGGGAGGTGCCAGGGTCTTTAGGAAGTAGAACCTAGTGCAAGGAAGTTAGGTCATTGAGGGTGTGCCCAGGAAAGGGGTGTTAGGTCTCTGACCTCTTCCTGTTTTTTTCTGTTCCCTATTGCCATGAGGTTATCAAACATCCTCTGTTACTGTGATGCACTTTGTCACCACAGGCCAAGTGATCATGACTGTAGACCTCAGGAGCTGATAGACCTAAGGAAGTCCATCTTGGTAGAGTACGGAGTTTATTGGTTTTCTATCAGAAGCCTGGGTGACTCAGCCAATGTCACCCAAGTCAATCATTTATGTCTTCTACAGTGGTAATTGGGATCTCTGGGAGAGGAGAGACCTTGTGAGTCTTATCTCCCCAATCCGTCCACAAGGGAATATCAATAGGCTGGCTCTTGTGAGGGTTTCATGAAGATAATCACAGCTGCTCTGTTTCAAGGGTCCAGCCCAGAGAATAATAGCCATGCCATACTTGTGAGCTGTGCGCCTCGGGTGTTGGTCACACAGACAGGAGACACTTCCTAGCTCTTAGGGGACCAAGAGTCCCACAGGACACATGATCCTTCACAAGTAAATATACAATTACCAATAATTAAGATTACCAATAAGAGAAAGCCCATTAGCAGGGCTCACGCCTGGATTGTACTACATGTAATTTAGGCTTTTAATACCAAGAATTAATGCAGCAGGTGATCAAAATTTAGAGTCCAAGCTTCTACACTAGGTATATGAAGCCTTGTCTTAGTTTGTTTGTGTAGCTAGAATGAATGCTTGATACTAGGTATTTTATAAGAAAAATAATTTTCTTGTCATAGTTGTGGAAACAGGGGAGCTCAAAATGAAACATCTGGTGTCTGGTAAAGTCTGTTCTTTGCTTTCAAGATGTGCCTTTTGCTGGGTTCTATCATGGCAGAGGGGACAGAAGGGGACAACTCCATCTTTGCCTGGCAGAAGACACAGGTGTATTAGCAATTCCAAGCCTCCTTCTAGGACACTAGTGTCCCTTACTCCCTTTCTTGAGGATTAGTCTGTGGGACTCATAGTTTCTCATAATGACCCATCTCTCAATGCCATCAAAATGGGGATTCATTTCAACGTGAAGTTAGGGGTCACAATCACTCAAATGGGGATTCATTTCAATGTGAATTTAGGCATCACAGTCATTCAAATTATGGCTGCTAATATAGGGATTCGTTTCAACGTGAAGTTAGGGATCACAGTCATTCAAGTTATGGCTGCTAATATATATTGAATCACATCTTCCCTACCCTTCAAATTGTTGGAATCCTGACTTCTCCCCCAAGTGCCTCAAAACAGGATCTAACCAGAGTTTCGTCTTTACAGAAGTAATCAAATTAAGATGTCATCATTAGGGTAAGCCCTTGTCCTCTGAGATGCTTGTCCTGATAAAAGGGAGAGGATTTGGATTTAGAGAGTGAGACTTACATGGTGTGGACACGGGAATATGACGCGAGATCGTACAGGCATGTCAAAAGCTGCAGGAGAACTGCCAGAGGCTAGACGGATGGCACTGGACAGATGTGCCCTGTGCTCTGTGGGAGGAGCCGTGCTCGTCTACACCTTGGTCCCGGGATTCCTGGTCTCCAGAAGACAAGGGTGTCTGCTGTTGAAGCCACCTATCTGCGCTACTTTTCTGTGGCAGTCCTAGCAAATTAACACGGCCTCACGCGGCCTGCTCCCCAGCTTCGCCCTGCCACCCTCGATGTCTTGCTGCCTGACAGTTTTATAGACAGAGGGACCAGTTGCAGAGTGCACCTGCTTTTCCTGGAGAACAGACTTCACACAGAGCTTCTGGGTGTCTACAACTAGGGAATTATTTTCTTTATATATTACTTGGCAGCAAGCATTTATTATAGGTTCACACCTGCAGTTCTCTTGCCAGGGAAATTGCCACACCCCACACCCATCATGCTTGTCTTTCATCCAGGGTCCCAGAGAAAGTGTCTGCTCTCAAAGCCATGGCTAGCTCTTCCATAGTTTTGGTCCTCAGCCAGACTCCCCAAACTTTCTCAGATTCCAGTAGATATGTAGATGCCATTCTTCTAAAATATTCACATGATGATCTGAAATATTCCAATTCTTCAAGCATCAACTCAGGAGACAAACGTTTTAATGCAAAAAAAATAATCACAAGGAGAAAAACCTTATTTCTAAAACTGGTTAAAAATAATTATGAAAACTAAAAGCTAAGTAGGCAACTTTCCAAAGAAAGGAGAAATTAATTTTCTTTACGATATGTTCCAGCCCTGGGGATGGAAGCTCCTACAATATGGCAAGTCTTTACCTGCATGAATGTGGGAATTAATCTCCAGTTTTCCAGGTGTTAGATCTTGTGGTTGCATTTTAACTGCTTGTGTGGGATTTTCCTTTTATATATGCTTCCGTGTGATTCTTGTCTGCCTCCTGGATGGAGGACACTCAGCTTCTTGATGATGTCTTCAACAGTCGTTGGACTCTGATGCCTCCCCAGGCCAGGGCCAGCCTTGGCTGTAGATGGGTTGGGCATAAAGCTGTCTCCACAGAATTGCTGCCTCTCAGATTTGGGGACTGTAACTACTCTCCTCACCTGTAGGTCTGTAGCCAGACCATGACCACACCCTGAAGTTAACCTGCTTAGCTAAGGGTAGAGCATGACAATTCACCATGCTGTTGATTTCCTTGTTAAAGCCTACAGACTCTAATACTAGGAATTCGGGGCCCACTTACTGCCACCATTGGATGTAAGAGGAAGCTACAAACCAGAGAGGTAATACCCTGGCTTAAGCGCACTCCTGACTCACAGCCCCGTTTTACTGCCTCCAGAGAGTCTGAATGGCCATCTGAGCTTTCTGTGAATAAATTGCCTGTCAATCTGTGTACCTCTGAAACAGGAAGATGACTGAAGTGTGCTTTCATGAGTCACAGAGTTTATTACATAACGATGTTTCTGAGGCTTGCAGTGGCTAAGGAGGAGGAGAACACATACCAAGTTCACAATGATACGGGACGAACATTAGCCACATAGAGAGCTGCTTCCACAACCATGACAGTCTCGTAGGAGGAGAACACATACCAAGTTCACAATGATACGGGACGAACATTAGCCTCATAGAGAGCTGCTTCCACAACCATGACAGTGTCCCACCTGGTGGACCAGGTCCTGGTGGAACAGTGCCGCATATGAGTGGTTGGTGAAGAAAGGAAGTTGACTTCCCAGTGTTCATGCCGGAGGACACGCCCTGCAACGCCACAGGGCACCTGAGGAGCAAGGTTGCAAGGCCCAGCAGAGAACATGGTGTCAGCTGTCCTTTCCAAAGTGTCATCAAACTCTTGGGCTTGTGCGCATCCTCCAGTCTGGCACTGGAGGTCAGGAGCCTCCATATGGAAATTGAACAGAGGCAACACCACATCCCAAGGGGGAGGGGAGCTGTACCAAGTTCTCACACAGGGTCTGATCTTGAAGAGAAAGGAAATGTAGTCATGTAACAAACTAGGCAAGTGTTTGGAATGGTTTCAAAGCTTCATGACAGCAAAGCATATTTGTATCGTCCCAAAGATTCTATTCATGTGCATTGTGAACCATGCTTGGCTTTCAATTAAATACACACACACACACAGACACACACATTCACACACACACACACACACACACACACACACACACACACACACACACACACACAGCCCAATGAAACATGCCTTTGGTTTCCCTTGGAGTCTGGAAACTTGATCAGACTTGTCCAGACCAAATCTACCTGGCAGGTTCTCCATGGAATAACCATCAGAACCAGAGAATGTCCATCTCCCTGGATCAGCACTTGAGAATCCATCTCTGGGGTCAGCACGCCACAGTGTACATCCCAGCAGAGAGTCTGTCTATCTCTAGGGTCAGCACATCAGAGTTTTCATCCCATCAGTATCAGGGAATAGGTCATTGACCCCCCTCACACCCATCAGTGCAACCTTGGGACCTGCCCTTTGCCTTTCTGTGAGTATTGTCCAGGTGTATATCTCACGTGGGGACACTTTGACCAGGTGCATGCTGCATATGATGTCACACCTTCTAGGAAAGGAAGTAGGAGGAAGAGGGCTGGGGCTTGGTGCTGCTCCAGTTTGGGGCCCACTGACTATGACTGTCCCACTCGATTGTGTGGCTGTATCTGCAGGACTATATCTGTTAGGACTCAGGTTACCCGAGGGCTGATATGAAGGGTGTGGCAACAGTGTGGCCAGCAGGCATTTCCCACCTGCTTTCCTTCCCCCATCACTGTGTAATGCTCTCTGCTCTGCTTTAAAATGACTTGTCCTATGCCACCATGACTGTTAGTGTGATGGACAAAGCAGCATCTTACCCTTGGCCAGGGAGCAGGGCCGTCATTCGTGACTACCTCAATCATGTCGGGTTCTAACTTCAGATAGTTCTCATCCTCGATAGTCTGTATAGCCATAGAGACTGCCTCCTCCTGGCTAGCCTGTCAGCCTCATATCTCTGGGGCTGTCATTCATCAAACCTGGGCCCAAAACTACCTCCCCTGTGAAGACTTTACCAATGTGTTCTTTCCCTTTCCGGGGGGTCACCCTGTCCTGCAGGCAGGCATGGCTTTGTGTCATCAGAACGTAGCAGTGCAGCAGCACCTGGTCACCCTGTCCTGCAGGCAATCCTGCAGGCAGGCATGGCTTTGTGTCATCAGAACGTAGCAGTGCAGCAGTACCTGGTCACCCTGTCCTGCAGGCAGGCATGGCTTTGTGTCATCAGAACGTAGCAGTGCAGCAGCACCTGTTTTGGTTCAGTGCTGATACTCACTCCCAGAATACAATTGGTGTCCTCTGCACCCAGTGCCCGGCAGAGTCACATGCACAGAAATGGTGTGTGGTACGTGTTTGAGAGTTGTCGAATCCATACTACACTGATTGAGCTCTTTTGCTAATATGGTGCCACCTTCCCTGGGGTGTGGGGTCAGGCCTACTGCGGTTCTAACTGTGGCAAAAGAATATGTGGCATTTAGCAGCCCTGGCTGCTTGGAGTGCCCATCTCCAAGGAGCTGGGTGTCCCCTGCTACTGCCACCATCTTTTGCTTCCAACTGTATAACTACTTATTATTGAGCCTTCACTGGTCTTCTGTGCCGTTGCTACCAAATTGAAATCCGATTGTTTGACATTTCAAAAGAGGCACAGTGGATGGAGAGCAAACTGTTGGAAAAAGAAAGGAAGAACACAGCTGCAATGCTAGAAAATGAGAAGAAGGTGGACAAACATGGAGAATGATATTTTCTCCTTGAGCAAGGGGCAGATAAGGGGCTTCAGCCAGCCTCTCCCATGCCTCTCCGGTGTCCCAGAGACAGAGACGTGAAAATGTGGTAGCTGGTGATTCCTGACGGTGATGCCGTTCTCGTCTTTGGTGGAGTCTTAGATACTCCTATCTGTCATCTTCAGTCTTGAACGGGGTGATGGTGGAGATTGGGAAGGTTTCAGATAAATTAACCTTGAACTCTTGGCTCCAGACAAATTTTCCTTAAGTTTAGCCAATTTGTCTATATTAACATTTGAGCAGAAATATTTGTCTCCAAAGGGTAAGCTAACCAAGGAGCCAGATATTCCAAGACAAAGGCAGGGATGCCAAGCCCCTTTACAGTTTTAGTCGCTTGCAGGGCACCCACATGGGCCCCAGAGAGAAGTGAGTGCTTTTGACATTAGTGGTAGTCAAAGCCCAGAAAAGCAATGGTCATCAGAGCATGCGTGTACACAGCAGAGACGTCATCCAAGCAAGCCGGTGAGAGAGGCATCCATCAGAGCACACGTGTACACAGCAGAGACGTCATCCAAGCAAGCCAGGGAGAGAGGCATGCATCAGAGCTCACGTGTACACAGCAGAGACGTCATCCAAGCAAGCCGGGGAGAGAGGCATGATGCGTCCTGCCACCTGTGTGATGACCAGAGTCAGTAGCAACTATTTATTTACTAATTTGATGCGTGGCTGTTTTGCCTGCATAGATGTCCACATACCACATGCACACCTGTGGGCTATGGGGTGAGTCAGTAGCAACTATTTATTTACTAATTTGATGCGTGGCTGTTTTGCCACGCATCATAGATGTCCACATACCACATGCACACCTGTGGGCTTTGGGGGTAAGAGCACTGGAGCCTCTGAGTCAGAAGTGACAGAGGACTGTTGAGCCACTGTGTGGGTGCTGGGAATTGAACCTGAGTCCTCTCTGAGAGCAGCAAGTGCTCTTAGCTACTAAGCCACCTCCCCACTCCTCAGAGTTAATAACTTTTAAAGGCACATGGCTGTCAACAGTAGAGGTTTATTTAGGTTTTTCGCTCAGTTACGCTAGGAAGCCTCTCCTACAGTGGCCTCTTCAGAGCCTTCCATAGCACCAGTTCCAGGTGCTCACATTCAAGTCTGAAGCTCTGAGGTGGCTTGGTTGTGACTCAGCTGGGCAGAAAGAGTCAAATACGGAGGCACCTGTGGTGGGATGTTACCAAAGGTTACTAAAGGGGTCATACCCTGGGGAGGGTGTGGCGTGACTGAATGGCTTATGGCTAGGCCAGTTGAGAAGATACTAGGCCTGCTCTGGGCTGCTGCATATTCTATAAAATCATAGCTTTGGTCTTGAATTACTCCATCTTATAAAACAGCAGTGTGAACCTGAGTCATTGCATTTGAGTATGGGTACCAGGAATGATGAAACCTACATCTTATTTACCCAGGGAAGCAGCCTCCATCTGTTTTGCCCCACAAGACACAACCTGATTACTTATTCTGCCAATGAATGATGATACCTGTGTATATACCAAGTCATACCAGAAACTCCAGACCCAGGACAATTCAAGGGGCACTCCAAGACTGAGATGTGGCAGGCTGGCTGGCTCATCATCTAGCCCTTGGTCACCAGCCTCCACCAGGAAAACGACTACATGGGGACCGTTCCTGTGAGCCCAGGCTCCAGCTCTGGTGTAGGTTTCTCCTGCCCACAACACTCAGCCTACTTCACAGTGGTATTTGGAACAGCCTGACACCTGGACTTGCATTTGACAAGTCTGAACTTTGAACAGCTCTGTGCTGCCGTTCATAAGACTTCTGACCTGGCCCGCTTGTCTGACACAAAGTGTAAAGGAAGATCTGAGAGGCAATACTAGTAATTAAGACCAGAATGAAAGGACTTGTGGTTGCCTGTGGCCATGGCTGTGACTGTCAGGCAAAGCCGGGGGCACTTCGTGAACTTCACCCAAGAAGGTTGACATCGTTTGTCAGTTTACTGCAATTCAACAAATTCTGGCTTTGTGGAAAGTCACAGGTACATTTGCCTGCTTCAGATATAGCATGCTCACCACACTGGGTCACCTTCAAAGTGCCCACCTATACCTGAGTCTGTGTGAGTGCAACCATGTCAGAGGTACCTGACTGAGTGCTCACCAGTAATTGTAGCAGGAAGTAAGTCTGCATTGCAATTCTAGCAGGAAGTAAGTCTGCATCATGCACCTCCTAGAATCCATCCTGGATCCTTCAGAGCTTGCAGGCAGGCAGGCAGGCACAGTGGGAGGGCCCTGAGTAGTAGTCTTGTCGTCTAGAGGGGCTGACTGTGCACATGAGCTCATACTAGTTTCTGAGTTTCTCCGCAAGAGCCACCAAGGGGTCCTCCCCGACCAAAACCCCTTTGTCACCTCTAACCTTCCAGGAAATGAGCATAGTAAGGTATTTCTGAGACTCCATCGTCAGTAGCTGGGTGGGGAGGGAGCATTGATGGTGGAGTTCAGCTTGGCTCTCACTCCTGATGGGGGCCTGAATTCAAGTCTGGAACCTCCCTGCTCACTGCCTCAGTTTCTCACTGTAAGATGCTGCAGTGAGGACAAGGATTTGGCCAAGTTATTGGCCACTCCCCCTTTACTTGTGCTGTGACTCTGCACCCTCTCTGAGAAGGAGAAGAGCGAGTGTGGAGGAGACCAAGGAAGTGGGGTGAGGTGGAGCTTTGTTAGATGCCAAGGCGAGAGACCCACATGCAGAGAAATGCTCATCCGTGTTTTATATATTCAGTTGCTGAGTGTCCCCATGGGTGGCGGCTGGCATACGAGATAGACACCGAGTGGGGACGTGCAAGCCGAGGATTTTATTAGTATTAATGAGGTCACATCGTGTCTGGGGTGTCACAGGGCGTGAGAGTGAGCAGAGTGTCTTCTCTCACCGTGTCTTCACTACAGAAGTTGTACCTGTAAGGAGACACAGTGTTTGGTACCGGCGTGGTCCGTCATCCTTAGGGAAGCTACTGCTCTCTGAGTGTTAAGCAACAGGTTTCAGTTCACAGCCTGGGGGAGGAACACTGGACCCTGCGTATAAGACCCAGAAGTCTGGCTTCCCTCTTCCGGCCCCTCTGCCCTTCCCTTCCTCCCCCAGTCTCCCCAGCACTCTGTGGTCTCGGCCCTCCCCCTGGGTCATGTGATCGGCCATGTGCACCCAAAGTCTTGTCTTTTCTCAACAGCTAAAGTGTCACTTCCTCGATGCAGGCTCTCCCTTAGCTTTCTTTGCTATTTTCTGGGACAGGTACTCTTGGATTCCTTGTCAATGTCACATTTACAGTAGGTACTGAATGAGATGGGGGTGGAATGGCCGGATGGGCTCTAATTATTTTTGTCTCATGTCGCTGGAACAAAGTCCAGCCAGCAGGTCCTAGGTAGCACTTGGAATCCCCTTGAGGTGACTACCTCAGATTACTAGGGAGAGGGAGCCAGAACAAACAAAAATGCTGATTGTTTGTTAGCTTTATAATTGTTATTAGTGTTATTTAGTAACACGTGTTCCTGGCAAATTCTCAGAACAGCATAAAGAACTGACTCCAGCAAGTTGTCCTCTGAGTTTGTGTGCACTGTGGCACATGCCAAATAAATGCATAAAACTCTAATATTAAAGATTCTCCCCAGAGAGTGAGTAGGTAAAGTAGCTGTGCTCAGCCTCTGGAGGGGTCAGGGCCACAGGGCCCAGAGTTCTCTTCAACTAGATCCACTTGCTTTCCAGAAACCTTTGGGATCCCAGTGACATTCTAATGTGCCTTTAGCCACAGTGGCAGGATCCAGGCCTTGGAATGCTCAACAGAACTCAGGATCTTACAGCAGAGCCTGGAGGGACGGCTCTCCACTGGCCAGCCTGGGCCTCCTCTGTGCTGTTGTCCCACTGAGAGGACACGAGTCCTGCTGGTCACCTGACCAGTCTGCCTGTCCCCTGACCAGTGTGATGGCTCTGCTTTCCCACCTTATGGAAACAGAAGTCCACCCAAGTGGGTGACCTGTGAGTCTCAAAAGTTCTACGTCTGACTTGCAGTGGAGTTCTGTTCGGCCTCCCTAGGCCATCCTATCTTCCCCATTCCCGCTGCCCTCTTTTCTACAGAAGGCAGAAGGAGGGAGCTGCGGGTGGGGATGGGATTCCTCAGGTACTGCCCCTTCTGTGCTTTCTCTGTCCTCTTTCAAATGATTTATTTTGCCTTATCTGGGCAAGGGGGAGGCCCCCACATAATCCTCTGCAAACCTCCCTAGGTAACTCAGCAAGGGAAGATACATACTTCGTCTGCTCCTCTCCCTTTTGCACAGTGATCTTGGCCGCACCCACTTTGGGGAAGCTTGGGTTTACCACGTGATTATTCCAAAGAAACTTGACTTTCTCGATTGTTCCCACATCAAGTTTGGCATCAAACTCACTGGCATGTGTGGCACCTGGCTTCATAATGCCCCTTGAAATAAAGAAGGAGAAATATTCGTGTTCATGGGAGCACACTGTAATGACGTCAAAGGATGATGCCTGTCTGCTCTTATCTAACTTGTAATGAACCTTCTCCCAAATGTGTCTTCAAATCAAAGACGGAGAAATAGAGCATTGGCAATAAGCGACCAACCCCAATCTATCATTTCGGCTTGCTTTTCCAACTCAAATTAATTTCTCTCTCTTTTTTTTTTTTTTTGGTAGAAAATGATAAAACTCTCTCAAACTGTTTTAGGCCCAATCTATCATTTCGGCTTGCTTTTCCAACTCAAATTAATTTCTCTCTTTTTTTTTTGGTAGAAAATGATAAAACTCTCTCAAACTGTTTTAGTTTTTTTTCTAGAAGAATCATCTGTATCATAAGTTATTGTCTTAGCTTAACATGTGTTATCTGGAACAAGAGATTTTTAAGGTATATCGAGAGAGAAAGAAATGGCTAGGATTAAATTAGAAATTGTTGGAAGTAAAAAATTATTTTCTGCACATAAAGTAGTTTCAAACCCACTGATATCTAAAGATGTAAATGTTTAGTGCTATGTGCACAGTACAGGGATTACCTGAAGATATCATACTGTTGAGTGTTGCCTTTACTGCCAAACAGAGCCACTTTGACCTGCCCAGTGACTGTTCTTCCAGACAGCGTCAAGGAAACCCGGTACCTCCAACCTGGGCAAAGCAAGGGAGAGGTTAGCCTAGACTATCACCCATGCCTTGACATGGCAGCACAGAGTATGAGAAATCACATTTACTAATCCACATCTTAAGTGAGCACCCAGGCGGCCCTTCTGGACCTGCTTACAGTTAAAGCCATAATAAATAAAATTAAACATGTACTCTGTCAAGTTCACTAACCATGCTGTGGGTTTTAAATTGCCACATGGAGTCAATGGCTTCTGGATCCAACAGGGCTGAACAAGCCTGCTCCAGAGCTGTGGTGCTATGTGTTATGGCAAGAAGAAGAACCAGGGTTCCAGGCCACCCATGGGAAGACAACTTAGGAATGCAGAGCACCTCCAGCCTGGGACTGTCATGTCTCTGCACACCCAGGGCCCCTGGTGCTCAGGTAATTATCATATAAACTTATACCTAGGGTGCTGTCCCAGGACCTGTGTGTGTGCACAGGTATATATACAGGCATAGCACACACACACACAGAGGCATAGTGCAGGCAAACATATAACTATATATACAAACACACAGTGCATCCATATGTATGCATATATGCAAATGTGCATCCATTGTACACACACACATAAAGACAAATTCACCCCAATCTCCACACACACACACACACACACACACACACACACACACACACACAACCACATGTATACCCTGTCTAAGTCCCACCCACCTTTTACATCCTAGAGATGTTACCCCTTCCCTTTCTCTTCTCAGGGTCAAGTTCCCCTTCCTTTAATTCCAGCAGCAGCCCACCAGACCCAATGCTGCCAAGGACTCATACACTTCAAAGCATTGCCGCGGTCATCCTTGCATCCCTGTACCTAGCAACCCATATCTGTGATCCCTAAATAAGTGTTGATGGGGGAATAAATTATTCCTTTGTTACAGTTAAAATATAGGCAAGCCTTCCAAGTATTGCCTCATTGGGGGGGGGTTTGATTAATCAGTCTCCTGGCAAAAATAAATTTATAGGTATGTGTATTTACAGTGATGGGGAGGCCCTGGATCTCCAGGAAAGCTGGCTACCCATCTGTTGTTTGCCAAATCAGAAGTATTGTATTAAAAAATAATGAGTCTTGCTATCTGTAAATTATACCTCAATTCACCTGAGTTTCATAAACTACACAAGACATATTGTTTTATATAGTGTTATAAATGTATCATTTCTGTTTTTTACTGAGTGACAGGGCATGGAACTCACTAGTTGTCACAAACGGCCCAAAGATGCATAATCTGGACCTAGCATCTGAGTAAACTCAGTGGGATTATGAAAGAAATCATCCCTCCCTCAACTGGCCATTCTACCTCAGAGAGGCACCAGGGCACATGGATAGGGGAGGGCAGATGCTGAGAATGGGACTGGGCCCCCCTGTAGAGACCCACCTGGCAAAAAGCCATTACCAAGTATGTATGCTGAATGAATACAGAAGGTTTTGTGTGTGTGTGTGTGTGTGTGTGTGTGTGTGTGTCTGTCTGTCTGTTTGTCTGTCTGTCTCTTTCTCGAGAGAGAGAGAGAGAGAGACAGACAGACAGACACACACACACACACACACACACACACAAAACCCTCTGTATTCATTCAGGATACATACTTGGTTTCCTAAAAAGGAAAAAAACAATGCTATGGAATGGGATAAAAATTCAAGCTAATGGTTCCCAAAGCTATGCAAATTGCCTCAACCTGGAAAATCACCCTTTGACTTCCAGTCATTCCACAGAATGGAAATAAAATGGAGGAAGTTCAGATGTTCTCTTTGCCTCTGAGGGATCATGCATGAGAGGCTCAGGGCAAATATGTCTTTCTCCTGGGTGATCAAATGTGTTCGGAACTCTTTCAGACGAGAGGCAAGCTTTCCCTTGTAACAGGCGTGGCACATTCTGGACCCGGGCAAGTAGTCAACTTACGTGCAAAGTTCTTGGCATCTCCTGTGTTCAAGAAGAACTTCTGTGGTTGCTCACTTGTCCTGCCAGCAAACTGATCAGCATAGTGACCCATCTGCGGGCAGCCTTGCACTGGGCAGGGGAAGCACTTGTCCTAGTAAAGACAGCAGGGGGCTGAGAAGCAGATCCATCCTCTTATGACCAAGATGGCTGGAGAAAGCTGCTGCTCCATTTCCCTGCGGCCCAGTTCCCTCATTTGCAATGGGGAGAGAGCTGGAGCCCATTGTCTCCAAATTCCCTCCATCTCAACAGAACTCCTAGCCCTGCTGTGTACAGCATGTTAGAGCAATCGGGGCCTTTTAAATGGTGCTGCCATCTTGGGCCCAGCTTCCGTCAGTTGTATTTCCCAAGCTTCTAGTGGTGTCAACTCTCCATATTGATTGTAGAGCTTGCTAATAGCTTTCTTTTTCTTTCTTTTAGACAGAATCTTATTCATTCCAGTCTCTCTTTGACCTCACTATATAGTGGAGGATGACTTGAACTTCTGAACCTCCTACAATTGCCTCCTGAATGCTGAGACCATAGTCTTGGATATGATACTGGTTTATAAGTGCTGTGGCTTGAACCCAGGACTTTGTGTATGCCAAGCAGGAATTCCATCAACTGAGCTCCAGCTCTAGCCCCAGAGTTGGCAAATTTCTATGGTATAAATACTCCAATCCTGGCCAACTTCAGGCTGCCAACACGATGCCACTAGCATGGAGCTGATGAGGGATGCTCTTACCGGCTCTCATGAGTCAATGAGGCAGGCAACAGTATGTTGTGATGTTGGTCTCTTCCCTGTGGCCAACCTAGCACGTAGAATCCCATCACCTGCCTTTCCTCTATTCTAGAATGAGGGTGACACTGTGCTCACAATTGTCTTCCATGTTTGCTCTACAGAAAGGCATGTTCCTCCCCCCCCCAATCTCTATCATTTCTTCAAATCAAATTCCAGGGTACCCTTCTGCAGGATGCCCCCCAGACTCATATGGATCTGTTCTCTGATCTTCTAGAATATGTTCCTCTCCTACATGGCTCATTTGAGCTCTCTCTCTCTCTCTATATATATATATATCTCCTACCAAAAGTTGTGGTGGCTTTTTATCTGCCCCCACTCCACAGGAGTATGCATTCTGAGGGACATGGCAGACATGAACTGTGGATCCCCACATAGTGGGACCGCAGTGTGTGGTGCCCATCAATGGTAGAGTAATAGCTTACAGACTCAAAATCTTTGTAGGAAGTGCAGGGGTATGCAGCAAACCCATCAGGGTTAAGGATGCTCTCCAGGTAGTACTTGTAGCTTCTCAGGTGGTTACAAGCCACGAAGTCCCGGGTTCCTGGGGACACAAGGCAGGGGGTCAGTTCAGGCAACTGGAGGCAGTGTAATTAATAGGTCCAGATACAGTGGGACTGTATCTACAGAAACTCAGTTCATAACTCATTCACAAAATGGCAATGAACAAATGAGGCTTTGGGTGTTGGGTGGTAATGCTCTGGTTACTTCATTGGCGTTGTCTGCTATCCCCGCCCCTTTCCAGGAGGCAGGCGTCATGGTATCCCTTTTGTAAAAGTGCCCACAGTTGATTCACAGATGACAGCTACCAAAGGGGAGAGTTGTCATGAAACACTGTCCATCTGGTGCTCAATACTCCCCTCCAGCCTCCTTGTCCAGGAATAAGGTTGGAAATCCTCAAAGACACAACCAGATGTGCCCCATTCCTCCCTATGTGACACAGTAAGCTCTAGGACATTGTCATCACAGGCTCATGCAAATGAAGGGAAAAGTAGATTTCAGTGGCATCAGCTGAGTGCCAGTCTTATCCCCTCTCACTCCTACAGTATTCTTTCAAGTCCTTACTCAAGCCACTTGACAAATCTGCCACCATTCCATCTGGACCTGCCTGGCCTGAACTTTATTGTCCACTGCTGACAGAGCTGTCAAAGCCCAAATGTGTCATCAGCGTTCACATCAAGGATATCCAAGCCGTTTTGATTGAATCAAGCAACAATGACACTCATAAGATTCTATCATACCACTATGGTTTGTTTGTTTGTTTGTTTTAACTTGAATTCTGCCCGTTGACTAGCTGAAAATGACTTGGTCTCATTAGGAAGTATTGGAGCTGTTAACTGATGGGTGCCCTTGGTCTCTGTGTATTCTCATCAATGGAAAGTGGACAGTTCCCATTCTAGCCTCCCTCATGCCCTTGCTCCTGCTCAATATAAGCGAGCAATGACTTGCATTGTGAAGATGGCTTTGCCATGCATGCCTCTGGGAGAGCCTTATTCTAGTTACTGAACTGAAGCGAGTTACCTAAAAATTGAACCATAATATTGATTCACAGGGAATATTTGCAGGAAAATTCTTTTGAGATATCCACCATGTCACTCTTGTTGCCTCCCCTTCTCTACGTGGTGACAACTAGCTGACAGTTGGGATTATAGCTGTAAGCCAAGCTTAGTGATTCCTTGTTGCTTACTCGGTCTGGCATATCCACAGCAATGTTTTAAGGAAATATAGAATGTGAGAGCACAGTAGTTATTTTTTTTCCAGAAATAATATGCAGAAAAGGAAGTCATATTTTTTAAAAGGAAGTACATTTTTTATCACTAAGAATTGCTACGAGGCTGAGCTAAGTCAGTAAAACGCTTGTTTTGAAACTATGAGGACTTGAGTTTGATGCCCAGAACCCAAGTTAAAAAACACTGAATGTGGCAACGCATGCTTCTGTTAGTGCAGGCATGGTAGAGACATTTCTCTAGGCCAATGAGGGACCTTGTATCATTTAAAAAGATGCATAGTGTCTGAAGAATGATACACAAAGTTTTCTACTAGTTTCCACACAGAGATATGCATTCGTGCGCGCGCGCACACACACACACACACACACACACACACACACACACACACACACACGCACACGGTGGGGCAGAATCTGTCATGGCAAGTTCTGAATAACACAAAGACGCACTGTCCTCCCAGACTGGCCCCCATGGCCTTACCTGACCAGATGCCATCTAGGTCCACAATTTGTGACAGGGCATTCTTCTTGCATCCAGGCATGTTCTGTCCCCCGTTGGGGAAGAAGTCAATGTGACCCATCATTTGATTTGTTCCAAAACCTAAAATATTTGTAGCAACAATGAGAGGGTTTGTATAGAGCTCTCGGAATTAAAATACCATCAGTCCTGTCCACAGCTAGAGACTGGAACACCATGGGGCTCACCCAAGAATGGGATCAAGGGAGCTGCATCTGTGTGAATCACATCAACAAAGTCCGCATCTGAGGGATCGAGCCGGACCTCTTCAGGAGTGCCTTCAAAATTTGCTTCTACAGGATCCAGTCCTAAAAGAGATGGCCAACAGTGTCAAACAGTGAAGGACCAGACATGAAGGACCAAGGTGTGTGGTTGTACAGGCTGGCCAACTTGCAACTGGACAAGTACCACACTGGTAGTAATATAGGGCCATTGCCTGTCTAGAGAACATGGGGTGTGGAGTCTCAGGGCTACTCATTTCAAGGGGGCTTTGTGGCAGGAGAGGAGAGCAAATGAGAAAAGAACTCAGATTTTGTTTGATTGTAGAAGAAAATGATTTCTTTCTACATCAGATTCTTCCATGTATCTTTCATATTTAATATTATCATTGTCCTTTCTTTTATCTTAGTGAAGAAAACAGAGTCCTGGGCCTATACCAGTTGCTGGTTCCAAATTGTACTAAGGTAGTTTTTGGGCAAGTTGTGCATGACTTTGAGAAAGCCATTCAAGAGTTTTGTTTCTCAGCTTCCCTATTTTATAAATTGAAGGTAATAACTCCATCAGCTTATATAGTTGTTGCTGATTAAATAATTTAAATACAATGTGTGGCATGGGGAATGGCATCGAGTCATAGAATCTGTGTGTTCTTGGGCCAGCTATTTGCTTCCCTGTGGCGCTTCCTCAGTTCTAAGGATTAGGTGAGGAACACAAAGTGTTTTTGCAGGATTTAGGGTAACCAGGCATGGTAGCACTGCTTCCTTTAATAATGGCATTCATATTCTCATGCAGATATGTTCTATTGTTCTTGTTATAGTGCAAAGGCTTTGCTGTGTTTGAAGGCTGCTTTGGTGGTGCCAGTCAAAAGACAGTTTTTGGTAGTTACAGCAGCTGGGATCCTTTTGCCAGCAGAAAAAGTGGGAAGCAATTTCCAGGTTCCACTGTCTCCCGACTTCTAAGAGAAGAAGGAAGGAATGGGTGGTGTAGCCCTGTTCATGAACACTTGTTCCTGTCATACTAGCTACACTCTGCATTTTCTTGGGTGTTCAAAGCTGCTGCCCGACCCACATCACGGGAAAGATTGTACCCGCAGTGGAGCAACCGGGACCGCGGCAGAAGCACCACAGAGAAACAGCCACCATCTCCCTTGCCGATAGCAGTCATACTAGCTACACTCTGCATTTTCTTGGGTGTTCAAAGCTGCTGCCCAACCCACATCACGGGAAAGATTGGCAGTGGAGCAACTGGGACCGTGGGAGAAGCACCACAGAGAAACAGCCACCATCTCCCTTGCCGATAGCGAAGGCCCACGTGTTTGTCACAGGCGTCCTAAAATCTCCTGTCCGTGTTGTTCCCAGCCAAGGGGCTCCGACAGCTGTTAGCTGGGCTACGGTCTTATGACCACTTTGGGGTTGTGGGAATGTGACCTGGGGCCTTACCAGTAATCCTGCCTAGGCCTGGAGTCCGACTTCCTGCTTCCCCGGCCACATGGGCTCCTAGGCTATGGCCAATGAGGTGGACTTTGGAAGGTGAGTAGCTGTAGTTTGTCTAGAGAGGAGAGATCGCAGGATGGTTAGCGTGACTGCCCTGCTGGGAACTCTCCTTGCTTTCTGGGGCCTCAGAATTGAGCTCTAGTGCCCACAAGGACCTCAGGACTTTCTGGGCTCAAAGTGGCCCTTCTTAGACTCATCTCTAGCTAAAGCTCTTTGTGGCTTCAAACAGTGTTCCACTCCTTCACCCTGGGCCTGGTTTACACTGCTACCCTGTAGTCCATCTCCCTGTGTTCTTGCCTAGCTACCACCTAAAGATCCTATCTTCAGCAATCCAGACGCCTTTTCTAAAGGAGACTTCCCAAATGCTACCCCCCTCCCCCGCCCACACACAAGGTATATTATTTCCATGTCCTGCACAAACCCTGCATGCCTGCTCCTCATGCTGTGACCCTTTAATACAGTTCCTCATGTGGTGGTGACCCCCATCAAAAATTATTTTCATTGCTATTTCATAACTATAATTTTGCTACTGTCATATATCATAACGTAAATAATCTGTGTGTTTTCTGATGGTCTTAAGAGAGCCCTGTGAAAGGGTCCTTTGACCCCCAAAGGGGCCGTGACCCACAGCTTGAGAACTGCTGCTCTAACAGATCAGACTCTGTGGTCACTGCAAGCCCCTTGATAGACAGCCTCCGTCTTCACTGTCTTTCTCCTTGCAAGCTGCTGAGCATCTGCTATAGAAACGTGGGATCGCCCAGACATCCACATGCAACGCTCTGTGATATCCCCAGCAGCCCTCTCACTAATGTGTCTGCACTGCTCTTTGTGTGGCCCCATGGGTTCCGATTTCTAGGGGTGCAGAAGCAGTCTGTTCTTCATAGACCTATTATCTATAAGACATGAAACAGTGGCACTCTGACCTGGTCCGGAAACTAGCCATAAAGAATTCTTGAATTAACATTCGGAATGAGAGACTTAAAGGATTAGCTAAGAGCAAAGACCAGGACAGGAAGAAACAACTGAAATGATCATGGCAGGAAAGATTCCCCAGCATCAGTGGGACTGACCCACAGCCATGGGGATCCGTGCTTGTCACTTGCATGTCCTGCCCCTGGCTCTGTTTGGCTTTCCTCAGCAATTCAAGGCTTCACTTTGTACACATTTTACTTGTGTGGTAAGCAGCTCCTGCGCCCAGATTATCTGAGCCCCCAAGACAACTCATCTCCTCACCTGCTCTGTGTTTTGGCAAGCTAGTTAGCCTCTCTGTGCCTCAGTTCCCTTGACTGTAAATCCAGAGGGTAGTGAAATCCCATCACTAAGTGTAAGCTGGGAAGTTTTTCTTTTACTCCTGTGTCACTAAAGTGGTGTCCACTTCTTCCTGTCTCCTTTATAACTCCTAAGTTCACCTTTGTTCTCCACTCCTACTGGCCCACTCACCATAAGGACATCAAGCATGTGAGCCAGCTGGGCACCCACGACTCGAACGTTGTTGGCGGCCTGCGTGTAGGTGGTCTGAGAGCCCCGCTTCCAGTCCACACAAATGCAGTTCACCTCCTCCACTTTGAACATGTTCTGGGGATGGGGAGACACAGTGTTGCCAAAGGGAATGCAGAAACCCATCCATCCAGGGGTCAGAAGTGTTACTCTTCTTCTAGCTGGGGTACGGAGGTGGACTGAACTCTGTCTAGGGGATCCTGCAGTCTACCAGGGCAGGTACTAGCAGCAGAGAAAATCCACACCCTAAAGATGAAGGGCAAGCCAGCCCTTCTGATTTCTTCAACCAAATCTGATAAGGTGGATCAATTACACCATTAAGGGAATTGGGCCTGACAGGAAAAACCTCAGCATAGCGTCTGGTGACTACTGTATATGGGACCTTGTGGTTCTGCTTGTGAGAGGTCCTTTAGGTGACATGCCAAACCACTGGGTATTTCTTGAGCTATAAAGAGGAGGGGAGGTGTCATTTTCCACAGTCAAGATGGCATAACATTTCACGGTGGGGGGGGGACACACATGGCAGGTATATGAGAAACAGAGGAGCACTAATGTGAGAGAGACTGAGGAGTTAGGAAGGAGAAACTCCCCCAGGTGTTCAGCCAGGCTGTGCATGTAGTCATCTTGACACCCACAGCTGAGGTCCTCTTAGCGCTAACACACATGGCATCTCCACTTTCTGATAGTTTTGTTCCTTGGGACTTCCATTGTCAGAGCAACTCTGAGAAATCCCTCCAGGTCCTAGAAAGTTTGGTACTGAAAACTGGGTTAACAGTCAGGCAGTGGTGGTGCACACCTTTAATCCCAGCACTCAGGAGGCAGAGACAGGCAGATCTCTGTGAGTTCGAGGCCAGCCTGATCTACAGAGCGAGTGCCAGGATAGGCTCCAAAGCTACACAGAGAAACCCTGTCTCAAAAAAAAAAAAAAAAAAAAAAAAGAATGTGAGGGAAGATTTGGACATACAAAACTCCACAATCACTCATTTTCAGAATACAAACACTGCTGCTAAAAGTGCGAGCAGGTGTTTCTGGGCCAGGGCTGAACAGGAAGCATGACAGTGTGGGAGGAGTGAATTCCTATAGCCAGTTCCGAATGGAGATGTGGGTTAGAAACAGGGAGGGGAGATGGGGCTTGCCGAAGAGAAGCTTTCTGAGTAGCTGTGAAGATTTCTAGTTTCAAGCATATGTGTTGGAGCTGTGTAAAGCCAGACAGCTCAGTGTGACGTGCTACACGGATCAGAGGCGTCCCTACCTTGCACATGTCCAGCACCCAGCTCTCTTCTCCCTTGTCTATGAAGCCATGGATGATGAATCGAGTCTTCCTGGCCACTTGGAAGTTAGAGGCCTCTATGGTTGATGGATCAGAAGGCTGGAGAAGCTGTGACAAACAGAAAGGTCTTCAGCTTTTTGCAGCCAGCCCCCTTAAGCCTGTCTCTCCTCTTTGCCATCCTTGCCTGGCCCAGTGTGTTGGCCTCTCAAGGCTCAGCACAAAGGCAGCTCTTTGGGTTGCCCATCCTGACCTCTCCACCCCTGATTCCCTGCCTCCTCTGGACCTGGGATGGGTCTCAGGGGGTTATTGTTCCTATGGGTGTAGTTCTTGCCATTTGCTCTAGTTGCATCACTGGCGATAAGTCTTAGGTGTGTTTGTTCTTATTCTTATTTTTCCTTCTCCTAGAGCGTGCTTGATATTTGCTATCTTTGCATATTGTTTCATATCAAGCCTAAATCTTTGGGCGTGGTTAGTGCTACAGGAATGTGTGGGGTTAATATCTCATATGGGTTTGTTGGACAGTAAGCTCTGTGCCCAGACCAGAGCTACAGAGCTGGCAGGAGGACCCTGCAGCTGTGAATTGTTTGTTCACTCACCCAGAAGGCTGGGCAGGGCAGGTACAAGGATAAGGAGATGCCCTACAGAGTTCATGAAGAGTCTCACCTGGAAAGCATTTGGATTCTCATTGGTGTAGAGCAGGAAGCGGGTGTTGATCTTCTCAGGGCTCCAAGGGAGAAGTTTCAAAGGCCTGGTGGCTGTCCCTGCCCAGGGCTCAGTGTCAGAAAAGCATCCAAGGTTGTTATAGCAAACCTCATTTCCTGAGGAGAGAGAATGATAGGCTCAAGGAAAAGCTGTTGTGGCTGAACTCAGGAGCACTTGCCTCCTCTTTATCAGAGTTCCCTGAGCCCTGAGGCAAGGGATTTGATGGAGACATCCCTTTTAGGGCTGAGTGTTCCAAGGTCTCTCACTCTCTGCACCTTGTCTGGCTATGGGTCTCTGTATTTGTTCCCCTCTACTGCAGGAAGAAGCTTCTATGATGATGGACATGCAAGGCATGCTAATCCAGAAGTTATTTCAAATTGACAGCCACTTGCAAATGAAAATCTGGTTTCCTCCAAAGGAGTCTCCCTGGGAAACAAACCCCTCTTTAGGGCAGGCCCCATGCCCAGGAGTAGATGGCCAACACAAAATGAACTCAACAGCATCTTTGGGGTTCTTTGTCTCATAATGAATTTGTTTTAACCACACAAGTCCTTCACATATGTATCAACGTGTCCAGTTTTGGGTTTTCCTGGGATTCCTGTGTGTGTGAACATGTGTCTCTGCATATATATGTAGGCTTTGCACTTTTTATCTGGCTCTTTTTCTTGTCTGGCACTTTTGTCATATTCTTATTTGTTTGCTTTTGATTTATTTTGCTATTATTCCTTAGATGCCTGTTTTCTAACAAGAGACCGAAGGACGTGGATCCAGATGGGAGGGGAGATGGGAAGAACTGGAAGGAGTAGGGTGAGGCGGAACTGTAATCAGAATATATTGTATGAAAAGAAGTCTATTTTCAATAAAAGAAAAAAATCTGAAACATTCAAAGCTACCCCCAAACTCAGAATTCTAACGTGTTTGTAGAGAACCCCCTGAGAACTCCACATTAACTGAGCACACTTGTCATTTGTAGATGTTCTAGAATTTTTTTCTCAAAAATCCAAGCCATAAGCTCCTCCAGGCATAGGGAGCCATTTCCCCTCCCCCTAGCACCCAGCTCATTCTCCCAGGCCGTGAGTTCAGCCACCTTTCCCAGAAGCCTAGGAAAGGCTGGGGCTCCTGCAAGCTTTGTCTGGGTTAAAGTTTTCTCTAGCCCTGCTGAGAGCCTGTGAATACACCGTTACTTCACACAGGGTTGTGGTGTCACTTACCTTGGGCTGCTCCCAGGAGGAAAAGTGGGATTGTCCAGAGCATCAGCATCTACAACAAGGTCATACAAGGTCAACGGCATCGAGTACTCAGCCTGCATCCATGAGCAAGGTCTCTCGGGAACTCAAGGCTGTGCCTTACCTCTGCTTTTTAGCTGGTGGAGGAACGCATCCAAAGGTGGCTTGTGTGGTCCAAGGAGGCAGGTGCTGGCTCCCCCAGGACCCACCAGGACCTTTTTGTACTCCAGCCTTATCATCTGGACTCTAGTTCAAGCAAACAGTGAGTGATGAGAGCAGGAGCTACGTGAACTTTATCCTTTAATCTGTACCTCTAGTCTGTCCTTCAATTTGTGTATTTACACACGAGGTTGGGATGGCAGACAGATATTCCCACAAGCCTGGGAAGACGAAGGCATGCTTGATGGAAGAAGAGTTGGTAGCTTTGAGCTAATATCTGTGAGAATCCCCAGGAGCCAGACAGGCTCTGCTGGTCTCTTTCAGTTTCATCACCAAGCAGTGCACAGGTGCAGACAGCTGCACTGAGATGGAAAGGGTGAGAGTTCAAGGGCTGCCTGCATGGTGGACCAAGTTCAAGTCTAGTCTGGGTGACTTAGTGAGGCTCTGTGTCAAAATAAAATAAACACAATAAAAAGGTCCAGTTGTAGCTCAAAGACAGAGTGCTTTCTTTGACTGTACAAGACCTTGGCTTCTATTTCTAGTGTGAACCCCCAAAAAGATAGCAAACCTTACTGACGAGGGGTACCATAGATGGGAATGCCCTGGAAGACTGGGAAGAAAAGGGAAACATCTGTTAAGAGATTTCCTTCTCTAAAGCCCCCCTCCCCTTGCAGGTTAGAAACACCCAGGCACAAGCACCTGGAAGACTCAATTCCCCCTCGCAATACCCACCACAGTCTCCAGCCCCGTTAACCTGTGGTGGAGTGAGAAATCTGAAATACAGTGCTTACAGCAGCTGCGATGGTTGCACTATCTCATTGTGACGTGGACACTTGGGGTTCAGGAGCCCCCACATCCCACACCGGCCGTCCACACCATGCCAGTTTTGTTCTCTGTACAGCTGCAAGACACACCCGACCCTGACTTACCTTCAGGTCTCTGCACCCATAAGCAGCTGGCCAGTTCCCACGAGGCAGATAAGCCCTCCCAGAGCAAGTGTGTGGACGTCCCAGACGTGCTCCTAAGTTAAACATGTGTCCATGTCACGTTCATACACCAAAATAGCCTAAGAACCAGGGTAAAGATCAAAGGGCCCTCCTGTTAAGAAAACAGAAAGGACACCCATCCCCCAGAGTAATAAAGAGTAGCAGCCACATTAGGGATGAAGCCCGTGTGGTAAAGTGATTGCCTACCACATATGAAGGCCTGGCTTCTGCCCCTTAGCACTGCACACATAGATAATGCATACTCAACCCCAGTGCTGGGGAGATGGAGGCTCAGAGTTCAGTGTCCTCCTTGACTGCCCAGAAAACCAAGGCCAGCCTCGGCTGCACGAGACCTCATCGAAAAACAAAACAGAAACGGCAACCTCTAGTCATTGTGGTTCAAACACAGTTAGTGCGCCAAATGATCTCTTTTAAGCCTGACAGCAGCCATTCCAGGCAGCACTTGTAGTTAGCTTCGCTTTACAGATATGAAAACCCAGGAACAAAGAAATAAATCACCCAGCTAAATGAGTAAAGAAGCAAACCCATTTGTCATCCATTTAACATGTTGTGTTTTCCTGTAATTTTGGGCCAAGCATAAGAAATCTTTGTCTAGACAAATGTCCAGAAGTACTTCCCATAAGAGCCATGATGCACTTCCCATATATTTTCTACTACAATTTTTATGGTTTTTAGCTCTTAAATTGAATTACTACCATTTTGTGTTCATTGTTATGTATGTAGAATATAATCTTTGAATGGCATTCTACTCTGTGTGGACATATTTTTTCCCTGAAAAAAATCCAGGACAATTTATCAAAGATAATTCCACTTTCCAGTATATGTTTTTGGTTTCCTTGTCAAAAAACTAGCAGACTGCAGATGCAAAAATTCTCATGAATTCTCTATTCTGCTACCCTGGTTTATGCCAACAGCGTGGTATGTTTTTGGTTTCCTTGTCAAAAAACTAGCAGACTGCAGATGCAAAAACTCTCATGATTCTCTATTCTGCTACCCTGGTTTATGCCAACAGCATGTTGGTTCTTTGGTATTTAATGCTGCTTCAACTAACCCTTCTCCTTCTCTTTAAATCTAAATCTACCACCACCCGAGAGCTAGTCGAGGTGAAGGAAGAAAAATCAAATGAAGACAGATGAAACACAGTAGCCTTCCTTGAAACAGTGGGAAAAGCAAATCTTTACCTGAAGGCTACCATGAGCTTCACTGGGGATGGTTAAACCAGCCCAGAGCCAGACCATCAACCTGTGAGTTGGGACACTGCCGTAGCTTGTTGCTGTCTGAGTGAACCCTCACACTATCATTTGCACTGAATGGACATGGTGCTTGCGGGAACATTACCTTGAAGTAATGGTTTGGTTATGGACTGTGGGGCCTAGAACAGGAGGCTGTTCCAGAACTGTGCCCTCATACAAAGTTTATCTAGTAGTAGTTATAAACATTCACTGTTAGAACCAAACAGAACGGAGTTATGTGTGCTACATGTCACATAACCAAACTGAACAGTGAAATGGGCCAGTTATCGCTTCAGTAAAACAGGAGAGGCTGCTCGACCCAAATAACCACAATTAGGGGGTCCCCTCTGTTTCAGCCGCACAAGGGAAATAACCTTGAAATGACCAAGCCAAGCTGCACTATCTGGTTTTGCTTTGCCAGCACCTTTCTGTCTGTAAATGCAAACTCATCAGGTCGGAATCTATGATTGAATTGAAATTTGCATTGAAATATTACATCTGAATTCTGTTTTATTG